TTCAGGTGATCTTTGGAAGTCTTTGGAATTGTTCAGGTGATCTTCGGAAATCTTCGAAAGTGTTTGGGGAATCTTTGGAAAGCTTCGGGAGTGTTCTGGTGATCTTTGGAAATCTTTGGAAGGTTTTGTGTGGCCTTCGATAATCTTCAGAAGGTTTAATAGCTTAATTTCATTGGCTGAGTCAAACTGTCCTATTTTTTCCCAAATTGGACAGTTTCTGCATTTTTACTCAAAGACCTTATTGAAAACTGTCCAAATTAAACCCCAAATGGGACAGTTTTTAGAAATTAAAGGATAATAGCTGTGCTGACAATACTGGATTAACTGACTGCTATATAATTAGGGTTGTAATAGACCCTATCACGGTTTTCGACGCTATCTTGACAGGTAGACAAAGCAGTCAGAAATTAGGTCCATTCCTGCTGGTGCCGATCATAGACTAGTATACCTCTTAATAAGCTTAACTCTTATCTAGCTTGGAACTGGATTTGAAGACATTCATTTGGAAGCCATGTGCATTTTAACAGACATTTACAAAGAACAGGTATTATAATTTATGGTTTTGTAGATTCTAAGTGCCATAGGACTTTTGCCATAGCAAGTCAGCCCAGCAGTGGGAATTGTCAAAGGTAATGTTATCTTTTAGTCTTTTAGGCATACATAAAATTAATTAGTTGTTGATTATAATTTTCCTGATTGTATATGTCCCACAGATCTTTTGAAAATCATAAACATCACTTTAGTCCTGCACTTTTCACTGAACCTCATCAGCACTGCTGCATCCCAGCTTTACAGGGTAACAAATACATGTACATAAACAACTGAACTCACTCACAGGTTAACATTGAATTAAATTTCTATTATTTGTAATATCGAATTTGACTTCATTGGTTTTGTAATTTTCAGGGCCAATTTCATCTTGCAAAGTCTTCTTTACGTCAGGCACTTGAAGTGGCTCATGCAAGCATTTTGCCTTTCTGGCAATTCAAAATCACTTTCCAGTTAGCGGTAAGTGTACTGAAAGGAGATGGGAATCTTTCGAGGCATTCTCTGGTCTTAGCTTGGTAAATGTTTCGACGGGACATACTTTACCAGGGATATACGTAGACAGGAAGTATAATCTCTTGGCCTGAATTAAAACACCTTACTCCAATTAGGGGGGGGGGGGGGGGGGGGGGGGGGGGGGGGAGGCTGGGAAATGGGTGAAATATGCCCCAAAACTAAGTCATACCCCGCTCTTCTTAAACATAAATTAATTTCAACCTCTCCCCCTCACATAATGATAATATTAAGGCGAACACCTCCGCTTTGAAAAAAGTCTCCTCCCACTGATTCCCTCATACCTAGTTTACTTGTTGGAGTTCTTCCTCCGGTACAAACATCACTTCAAATGACTCTTCGATGTATGTCAAAGAGTCATTTGAAGAGTCATCAGAATCGCTGGACTCTGAGCTTGTGTCGTCTTCGCATGAACTGGGAGATTCCTCATCTTCTACAGCATCTCTGGCACTTAAGTTCCCACGTGCGTGGGTGAGAACTCGATCAATCAACTCAGTCTTGCTTCCACTTATCTTAAGACCTTTTTGCTTTAGATACATTTTCAGCTGCTTGTTGGTAAGTGCTTTTACATGTTTTTCAACTGTCCAAGAAATAAGCGGAAGAGTCTTCCTTTCTCTTACTCTTTTTTTTGGCTTTTGCATCATGGAATTCAAGGTGCTGTACATAACTTTTACATGAAGTCTCGTCCACGTTGTACTGGGAACACACCTCTGGCAAAGACCTCTCTTCAGAAGAGGGCAATTTTCCCTCATTGAACAATCTCTTTATCTGGACACTTGGGAGAAACTTGTCGATCTGGTCTCCAGTGGACGTTACCGTAGTGAATGGTAAGTACTTTCCAGGCGAAGTAGCATCTAGGGTTGGAACTGGAGAACGTTGGTCAGGAACACCTCTTGTCCAACCTTCATTAAGTCATCTATCGCACGTTGGAGTGCAGGAAAACTTAAGTTACTCAAGGAAGTACTGCCCCTGACGAACATGGTCTTCTTTTAATTTCTGAAGCTTTTCAAACAAGGCATTCCCACACATATTAAATTTTACATCCAATCCCCCTCTCTCTCTCTCGTCTACCCCCCCCCCCTCTAATTTTCCAACCCCCTCCCCCATCCAGGTAATTATTGCACAGTCCCTTGGTTTTGAATTTACTACGGTTTGAGATTGGCTGAGTAGTCTCAGTGGTAAGTAATTAGTCTTACGACACTCGATTGAAGGACGCTCTAACAGACCAAACTAAACTCCATTTAGTCCTATCACCAATGTTTACCACCTGCATTATTTAAAGAAAGGCGTTTCTTACCCATGAGGCTCATGAAGATTGTAGATGTATCCATCTCCATACTCGTCGAGGATTTCCATCGAGTAGTTGTATTGTTTTGCAGTGACGTTGACACCCGCCGAGGCGTTCGTGGTGTAATAGACAGCATCCTTATAAAACTGGCAGTCCCTAACCGAGGTGGTGCCAGGGTATTTATTGGGAGGGTAGAAAACTGAACCCAAGAACACCCAGGAGGTCAGCGCCGCTCCAGTGAAAACACCAGCGTACGCACCCTGTGGCAGAGTTGTTGAAAAGTAGGCATCCTGTTAGCTTGGCATGAGTGCAAAAGACGAAAAACTCAAAGCATTATGGATATCCGTTAAAGTGCCTATGAAGTAAAAAATAATTGCTGCTTGTTTGAGAGGCTTTTCAAAGTATAGAAGAATGGCGTTTTCGTCGTTGGAATATCTTTTTTCGTTTTAGATATATTCACGTTTTTGTATTCTGCAAATGAGGAAAGTGATGATGTCATAGGTGGTTAATCCAAAACAGCACAACACTCAATCGGGAATAATTGTAGAAATATTAAAGCAGTGTTCTTCAAACTTGGCAACAGCAATGTACATTACAAAAGAAACAGAATGACACCTACTACGCTGTTGCCATGGCAACACTCTTGGCTCCAGTCTCTTTCTGTGAAAAACCAAATATCCCCATTTGCAACCTTCTAAAGTGGGACAGAGGGTNCCTTACAAAAACGTAAATATCTCTAAAACGAAAAAAGATATTCCAAAAAGGAAAACGCCATTCTTCTTTACTTTGAAAAGCCTTTCAACTAAGCAGCAAATATTTTTTACTTCATAGGCACTTTAAGATTCTCTGATTGGATGTTGCTCGCGTTTCAATTTTCGCGCGCAAGTAGTAACCAGTCAGAGACGCTATACAGATCTTTGAGGAGTTACGTCATCAGTATGTCTTTTTTTGGTCAAATTCCAGACGTCTCTAGCCTCCTTCCCAGACGTTCTGATTGCTCGTCACGTACTCCGCGCCAACCTCAGGGAAAAAAGATTGCGTGACGAGCCCGTAGAGCGTCTGCACAAGAGACTAAGACGGTTCTCGAGTGGGCAAATATTAAACACGTGAGAAGAGTTTAAAATGGCTAACATCGTATGTAAGAGGATTTAAACCGAAAATTCACAGTGTTTGGAGCTTTTCCAAATCTCTTGACCGCGTTTCAACTTTTCGTTGTTTCAATGAAATAAATTCCTAGCGCCAAACGATAACAGGGACACATTTAAAATAGCACGCTTAAGCAGGGGTTTGCATATTGTCGTTTTGTTATTCGTTATTTCTGGTTTAATATCTCGATGCCTCAGATGTTTTCGAATAACAACTCTACTTCACATCCACTCACCTTTGCATTTGCTCGGCGCACAAACATTCCCAGCAGAAAAATGCCAAGTAATGGCCCACCACAGATCCCGAAAATACTGTAGGCAAGCTAACGAGGTAATCAAAGAAACAATTTCACTTTCAGTCAGTATATACGGAGCGACTTTTTTTCAATGACTTAATGGCCTCGGGTGGAAATCCAATAGAAGTACAGTTTGGATTTCCGATAATTGTGAAATTTCTGGCATAAAGGTTCCTAAAAATAAATGAAATGCAGTAATGTTTTTGTGGAAAGTCTTTTATTAAAGTACTCTGGCAAAGAAGGCAAGAAATTCATAAGTATAGTCAGAACGCGTTGCGCTGCGCTGCCCTGCTCTGCTCCGCTCTACTCTGCTCCGTTTTGCTTGCTTTGCCACACCAGCACACATGCACTGTAGTACGTTTAGTAATTGATCAATCCTCTTTGGTTAACATTCCGAAGTGCCGTGAGACTTCAAGTGAAATCAAACTTTTTTTTATTTTTATGAATAGCTACATGTTAATAGAAATCAACGCTTACCTGCAAAACCATAGTTCCAACATACTTGACTACAAACGCTCCAGCGATCACGATAACACCAAATGCCAGCGCTTGAAAAAAAAAATTAAACGCCAAACATCCGTTTAGATTGCGATTGCCTTGTAGAAATCGTCGCTATAACAATTTGTTTTGGTTACATGTTTCACAGTTACATAATTTCCCCGTAAATCCTCGAATTAACCCCCCCCCCTCCCCCTTCGAGTAAGCGCCCCTTCAAATAAGCGTCCCTCCTATCAGTCAAAATTTAAAACAAGCGACGCCCCACCCTCCCCGTCGAATAAGCGCCCCCTGCCATCTCCTCATTTTGTGGACGAGTAATGAGACAACAAAGGATGTATAGTTTTGGTCTTGTAGAATTAGATATGTACAATGTTTTAGTTTGTGAACACGTTAAGTTTGGGAAAAAAATCACAAGTACTAAGGGTGCGGCGATTTAATTTTAAGATCAGATTTTCATGTCGATAAACAGGCTATGTTGGTGATTATGCGCAGATGATTAAGCACACCCTCCCCTCGTCTTCTCGTAAATTTGAAATAAGCGCTCCGGGCGCTAATTCGAGGATTTACGGTGCATATATCTGCGCGACCTCGAAGAAAACATGCCCTCTAGGCTTTTACTTAGACTCGCTTAGCCAGCTCTCTAAAACCTAATGAGACTCCGTCAAGGCCGGGCTGGGGGGAAATGGCACTGGCCAAACTACTGGTGGTTTGCTGCATAGCGGCCAGCGGCCAAAAGAAGGACGATGGTATGGTGACTTTTAGTGACACCTTTACTTAGCCAAACTTGCGTTTTTAGTGCTAAATAACATTGATTCTAACTATGTGGCTGGGCACTGCTCAGTTGTTGAATACTGCCTAAGGTTCTGTATTGGGAGGGACCCTGCTGGAGAGGCATATGTCAAGTAGTGCGTGACGGGCCAATCTCCTTGCCGTTGTCTTGAGTTCTCAGCGGGCATGTTTTTGCGAATACGGTCAGATATACACTAAAGAGGAAACTAGACAAAATCTAATATAAATTGCTATAGTGAAAAACGAGTTTGTTTTGCGTAAAAGCCAACACCCAAGTAAAGCAGACTAGCGAACGAACGATTACTCATATGGCCTCGTCGTGAGGCAAGGGCTGTGAGGCAGAGGCCCAAAGAAACCAAGAAATGGCCCCTTGAAATTACAGACAACAAAGAGTTTAAGTTAGTCAGTAAATAAACCATTCTTTTGCGTCGTGCAGCCTGCATTCTTGTAACTCGGTGTTGTTTACCCGAGGTTTGTTTGTTACTGGTTTGTCGTTCAATGTTTGTAAACTTATTATTTCACTTAACTCAGTTATGCTACACAGGCGTTAGGTGACTAACCGATGATCTTGCAAATTTTAGCGGCATCCGAGTCGGTCAGATCTTTCATTCTCTTCTTGATGATGTCTTCTAGAACCACCAGTGACATGGCATTAAGAGCCGATGATCCCGTGCTTTGGGATAAACAAAATTATATAACTCCATTAAGGTTTGAGTGTTGATTCCTTTAGCCAGTTATTTTTATTTATTTGGCCCAGTGGTTAGGGCGTCGGACCTAAAATCTTGAGGTCGCAGGTTCAAGTCCCTCTCTGACCACTTAGCTGGAGTTGTTTCTCGGTAGACCCTGGTTCAACTCCTCGGTCACTCATGTAAATAGCCAACTGGTCTTCCTCCTGCCAGCTAGGATTTTTAAGCCTATTATGCTTACCTAAAATATTTGATTTCGTTTTTCATCTAAGTGGCATGCCTGAGAATTAGCTCCCTTAGTAGGGTGGGGAAGAGAGATCTTTGCAATAGGAGTTGGAAGCATGTATTTCCAGGACTTATCCAGAAAAGAATTTTACCGCCCTCCTTCGTTCCTTAAACTTTTCCAAGCGATCATGTTTCTAAATCCTCTTAGGAACACTTTCCGATTTGGACTCGTCTTCCATTAGCCCACCCCCCACCCCCACTACACAGATACGTTACCTTAGAGCCCCTGCATACAAACAGGCCGTGAACATTCCCGGCAGACCCTTCAGGTTGTGAAGCTTGTTGATTACAAAGTATGGCAGCGTCTGTGATGAGAAAGGCATGAGGAAAACGTGAATATTACAGAACGGTTCTTACGTAAATCGTTAGAGAACAATCCAAATTTGTGTCATTTTACAGCTTTTGGGTGAATGGCATTGATATATAGTGCTATGCTATTTTTACCTGGTCATTGCTGGTAATTTTGCCGGACTTTATAAGGTCACACCCCGAGTACACAGCGAAAATAACGAGTCCGTCCAAACAACATAGGGTGACGATGACAATAAGACCAGGAACGTTCATCCACACGGCCCTTAAAAAAAAAAAAAAAAAAACTGAGTACAAGAGAGATTGAAGGGAATAATGTTAAATCGTAAATCATTATATTCTCATCGAAAATATGGTAATTCACTGCCCAGACAAGGCTAAGATATTGCTGGGAAGATTAAGCCTGGTTGNGGGGGGGGGGGAACGCACAACAGAGATACCGTATTTATTCGATTAGCCGCCCTGGGCGCTTATTAAATTTTTGGACATTGCAATTGAGAGTGGGCGCTTATTCGAGATGTGCGCTTATTGGAAGCTGGGCGCTAATTAAATTTTCAAATACTTAATACAACTTATCACTGTGTAGCTTGCCGAAAGCGGCAGAAAACCTGATCAAAAGCACAAATATAGTCAAGGTAGGTCCCCTCAGGACTTAAGGGTAATCAAAGTCTATTCATTGGGGCAATAGAGGATGATAGCATTGCGTATGAACGCGTTTTGTGGACATTTCAGCAGTTAGAATACCCTACTTTATTCCTGGTGTAAATTGCAAGTAGGTAAAAAACAAATTAAAATACTTAATTGTTAACAAAAATATTTCCGTTATCACTCGAAGCACCCACTGAAGAGGGGCAAGAGTAAAGGAAGATAAACCTTGTTTCCAATTGGAAAGGCTGAACAGTATTCATTTAATAAGAAAGTGTATTATCGTTTGTCTCACGATGTAGTCACTTGAGATGTAGTTCGCGACGTTTCGACTGCTTACTGCTAGTCTTCTTCAGGCGATAAGGTCGACTGATTGCACGGTATCATTTATATCACAAAGGTCGGCTGTGATTGGTG